TCGTTCATTTGATTCTGGCTTACAAATCCTGTTGGAACAAAATGCTAAGTAAAAAGAATTGTAATGAAAAGTGCATGAGTGTGAGTATTTTGTCAGAAAAATTGTAGATCTAGTACAGTAAGAGAGTTGATTTAATTTAGAGAAGGACAAGTAGCAATGTCCACTTCAGCTACAGTGATGTAACTTGAATTCATTAATGAATGAACTATAATGCTTTCTTCTACAACATAGTCACTGCTGTAAGTAGTATTATGGGGAGAAGTATCATACAGTTCTGGGCAGGATCCTTCCACTTCTCCAGATGATCCTTCACTATATTCAATTGAATTAGTACACACATCATTGTGGGGGAGCTTATCAGTAGTAGTAGTAGTAGTATGACTTCCACCAGATGTTTCTAGAGTATGTGTAGTGTTTTCCTTGGAATCAATGTTTGAGGTTTCCTTAAAGTTTAGATCAGCACAGATGGTATGCAATGAATGAGAGTCTTTTAGATGCTCACTTGGTAGCATCTAAAAAAGATTTATAATTAATATAATGGCTAAAATTCTTTCATTTTAATGCTACTAGGGATAACTACGCTTGCCATACATTTTGATAAAAATGTTAATATTGGAGGCATATTGGCAACAAATGAATCAGGCATAACATTCATAACTATAAATAATTATGTAAAATTAAAGTGACTATTTAAGCTAGGTACATATGTCTATTCTTTTATTACCAATTGAAATATTTTAGAATTTTCAATCTCGATGATTACATTTCTACATGAAATAGATAAATTAATTAAAATAACAATTCTAATTACTTATTCGTACACAATGCCACCTTCCTTGTACAGGCAATGACAATGAAACAACTAATGATGAGTAATACAATCACTAGAATCAAAACTCCAAATATAACTGCCACAGTGTTATCTATTATAGCTAGAAATATTAAATTCATACTAATAATAACAACAACAATAATAATGATATCTTACAAGGAGAGGATGTGGTGCTTGCTGTAGACTGGGTTGTTTCATTTGTAGCTAAAAATTATAGTAATATTAAAGGTCTTCTTTTAGTTACAGCCATCAATACAGTTATAAAATTCATAATAATAACAATAATTACAATATCTTACAAGGAGAGGATGAAGTGCTCAATGTAGAAAAAGTCTCTGTCTGAATTGTTTCACTAAATTCACTTGTAGCTAAAACTTATAATATCAAATTCATAATAATAATAATAATAATATTAATAATAATAATAATAAGATTAATAATAATAATAATAACAATAATAATAACAATATCTTACAAGGAGAGGATGAGGTGCTCACTGTAGAAAAAGTCTGTGTCTTACTAGTTGTTTCACTAAATTCACTTGTAGCTAAAACTTATAATATTAAATTCATAATAATAATAACAATAATGATATCTTACTTGGGTTGCTTGCTATAGACGGAGTTGTTTCATTTGTAGCTAAAAATGATGATAATATCAAATTTATAATAATAATAATAATAATAATAACAATAACAATATCTTACAAGGAGAGGATGAAGTGCTCACTGTAGAAAAAGTCTGTGTCTTACTAGTTGTTTCACTAAATTCACTTGTAGCTAAATTTATAATATTAAATTCATAATAATAATAACAATAATAATGATATCTTACTTGAAGGAGTGTTCATTATAGAAGAAGAAACCATTATCTCACTAGTTGATTCATTTGTAATCGGAACAGCTAAAATAATAACAAAGAAGAAACTGTAATTACAAAATGACCATTACACGTACACTGCAATTAGTTCCAATACGAACAAAACTAAACTGTACTTCTCACGGGTACAAAATTGCATCATATGCAACTTAGTATTTGTAAAGGAGTTATATGGGAAACTAACCTATTCCTGTTCCCTCATATACTGTAGGAGGAAATAGGAAGAAGCTTCTTTCCCCTATAACTCCTCTACATGCAAAGTACAAACCCATCCTGCTGGACCCTCCAATACAAATGCTTACAGGAAGTTTGATTGGATTGACAGCACAATAGTTTTTAAACTGGGTCTTTTCTCTCTCTCAATCTCTCACTGCTCTTTTACAAAGGTATACCACATTAATTATATGCAATAGTCTAATAGCCACTGACCTTCAATAATGGAAGAACTAGCAGCTGGTGCTGTATGACTGATGTCAACTAAAATGATAGTCAATAAACGACATGGCAGTACAATTATAATAATAATGTATAAAGCAGATACTGCATGGAAATGTGTTTAATAGCATATACCTTTATTGCTGCAGGTGCTTCCATTGCCATTTACAAAGTACCAGGCATTTTCCCAGAAATTTTCTGCACAACAAACAAAAACACAGAGAGAATTTTCCTGTAAATCTACACTTTCAAGCTGGCTAGACATTATGACTTGAAAACTTGGTTCTAAAATTTCACTATAATAATAGCATAATGTAGTATAATAATAATTATAATTGTATAAAAAAACAGTAAATTATTTTTCTAATCATCTCCCAGGTTCTCAAAAGACTATAGCCCAGCAACAAAATGGATTTAAGTCAACTAACTTTATGAACAAATTATTCTTAAGCATGCATTGTGCCACAGTTTGGTAAAACCGTGCCTCAAGTTAAGTAGTCCAGCAGCATAAGCTATGATTAGCTAGCATACAAGTGCTTCTGAAAATCACCTTTTAAATAAGCTCATATTGTTCAAATGATAACAATAGTAGTCAAGTTGGTAGTATAAATAATGAAATGGAGACTCTCCTAATCTAAGAACTAAACTAGCTGTACCATTACCGCAGGCAACAGATAGTACGATTTCACTTTTAGGAGCTACAGAAACAAAGGAAAAGTAATGATTTCAAGCCTTTAACCAAACTAACTTACTTTCATTTATAATGTTTGACTTTTCCAAGCACAATCTTTCAGCGGCCATTGCCCCTGTAAAGAAGTGCAGGAAAGATAGAGAGAGAATGATGAGCATTAAGGCAGTTACTGTAGACAGCATGACAGCTGTGCCAAGTGGTAACACTATACTAAACTCAGAGTGTAAACATGATTTATATAGACCTAATTATTTACGGAGATCAATTAGATCTAATTATCTACGGAGCCACCCACAATGAAAATTACTGAAGGCAAGAAGGCCGGAAGATCAAAGCCCAAGGTGCCGAAATGAAGCATAGCAAAAAATATGCTGCAGCAAGAGTTATCTGGTCTATATGATGTAGTCTGGCCTCCATACTTTCCATAAATGCTGCTTGTAAGCCTTTAGTATGTACCTTGTAGCGCTTGAGGTCTTCTTGCCGTCAGTAATTTACATTGTGGGTGGATACCGTATAGGAAAATGAATTATCTGGAATTATTTACGGTAGCCACCCACGATTAAAATTACTGAAGGCAAGAAGCTCTCCACATCAAAGGTAGATCGAAGCCCAATAGGGCTAGGCAAATTATGCTTCATTTTTTACCTATTATGCTTTTAGGCACTGCCCCAAATTCCATCCAATATGCTTTGCTCATAGTTTAAGCTTGCTCAAGTATCAACTATCAAGTTACATATACACGTACATGCATCTGCTATAATTGCAATTATTGTAATAATGCCAGCATCTGAAAATGTTTCAGAAGGCTTTGAGTCACTGGAAAATAGAATAGTCTGAGTCATTGGACTCGCCACACTTCAGTGCATAGGCAGGTACTAAGCAGTTGGGTTGATAGTACTTGTTCCACTTGCCATCATAGTATTGACTGCGGAACTGAAATCATGTGGGATCCAGAAATTTTTGACCCATTATGCCAGTATAATAACTTGCCCTATTATGCTCCATATTATGCCAGCATAACTTGCGTAGCCCTAAAGCCCAAGGTGCCGAAATGAAGTATAGCAGGAAATCTATGCTGCAGCAAGAATTGCCTGGTCTATATGATGTGGTTTGGCCTCCATACTTTCCATAAATGCTGCATGCTTTCTTGAACAACATAGTCACTGCTATAAACCTGTGCCATCTTTATATCACGAGTTGTAGTAGGAGAAGCATGTTCAGTTGATGCAATGTCATACATTGCTGGCCAGGGCCCTTCAATTACTCCTTCACTATATTCAATTGAAATATCCCTACTACTACTATTAGGCCATGCATGACTAGACTCATCAATATGGGGGAATTTATTGGTAGTAGTTGTTGTAACATGTCTTCCCATAGATGTTTCCTGAGAATTTGTAGTGTTTTTCTTGTAATTCATTGGAGAGTAAACAGTGTACGACGGTGAAAGGGAGATTTTTAGTTGTTCACTGGGTAAAACAAGAATCTACAATAAAGAATTAAATAATGACATTTGTACATACAATGGATTCATTCATATACCAGCATTTGTTTATATTTAAAAAAAAAACTTTTAATTCACATGAAAGTAAGGTATGCACCGAAAATTTAAAATTTAAAAATTGTAACCCCCTGTGGGTGGGTGAAAGGATTCTGTTGTTATTGATTTAAAATACCAGTACTTGTAACAGCTGCAGCTAGGGTCTGTACAGTGGCTGCTATTATATCATTAAACAACAACTCTAAAATCTTTCCCCCCTAAAATTACTCTCTCAATGACATTACAATTTAAGAATTTACAGGAAGTTCGTGCACGTGAGTGTGGTTGTAAACTATAATTGATGAATACTCCATGAAAACCACTACATGACCACTAACATGAAAAGATACAGAATACACACACATCAGGCCGCCTGAAGCCAAATTAATTGCGATGAAGCCAAAAATTAACGTCTTGATGTCAACCAAAATGTAAATAACTAAATTACTATACTACACTACATACTACAATCATATTGACATACTTGTTGTTTTAGTTGAAGAATAAACGGCAGTATCAGCCAAATAGGTGAGTTTACTGCTGACTTGAGACGAACTATTTAGTAAAATAAAAAAATTGACTGATGACAAGTTAGATCATAAGTACCTTCATTAGTACAGTTGCTACCATTACCTCTCATGTAATACCACTGTGAGTCAACTGAGAGTACACATCCAACAAATACACAAGTGGAGTTTATTGATACAAGATTTTCATAGTACCAACTCAATTCTCTAGCGATGTATCCATACTTGAGTAGACGAACCATTTGAACAATAAAATAATTGTAAAATTAAGCATAATTCTGATTAGAGTGTAATTAATCATATTCACTATGCATTATTGAGCCCAACCACTCCCCAGCCTACCAGTCATTCAAGTTGGGTGGCCATCCACCTGTATGGGAAATGCCATGTTCTGGCTTGAGAGACAACTATGCTGGGCATACCGGCAAAATTATTAATGAACCGGATTAGGAGGGATTTTTATTTACTATACATGTACATGATAGATACAGTAAAATAACATTTACTACAATGAGAGCAATTTGGCAAAACTCCCAAATAACTGTAGCAAACCTTATTTGTTTTTTTTTAATTTCTTATTATTTTTAATTATAGCAGCATGCTCACCTATTGAAGGGCTCGGTCAAATTGCCCAAGTGGTAGCAATGGTAGTCAATTGCAATGTAAACATCCCTCCAAGTCTTTTCTTCAACGAGACTCATACTAACTGAACTACCAGCACATGTTACAGTGAATCTATGACCACTTCTAG